GTTTTAAATATTCTAGAATATGAAATATTAAAGGGGTCATTGACTGGATTTTAAGGGTATTTCACACTGTTCTTTAAGGTCTCTGAAAAGGGTATGTTCAGTAACATTGGTTGGGCTGAAAATGGCCCAGGTCCATTTTGAATATCCTTCTAAAAAATGTCCAAACTAGCTCCTTTGTAATTCCTGTGGAAGTACACAAAGCAGCGCACAGCTAAACTAGTGTCTGAGATCTTGGGCCAGAACACCAGAGGGCTGTTCTGTATGTAACTTCAGGTAGTGGGGTGACAAAGGCGATGCTACATTTGTGACGTCACAAATTCAGCCTTTTCGAAACCGATCGTTTTACAGCTGCAGTTTCAAGTTGCGAGATTTAGATAGGAAAGCGGTATCAATCGATGGATCAATGACAATGTATCAATGAGGTTCACTTTGTCCATTTTACCCATGACAAGGGAAAATCGGTTTTGCAATCAATGACCCCTTTTTTTCCCCTCAGGTTGTAGTGAGTGCTGCTTAATTTTCTGTTTTTTCAGGATTTACCTCCTGATGAGGTAATCACAAGAAACGTTCATTTTGTATATTTGAATCCTTTTGAATTTTTATTTAATTTATTTTGAATTTGTTGCCAAAGCTGCTCCTCAAGACATAATGTTTGTCATATTTGTTAAAGTTAGGTCATTGAGTCTTTTTTCCACTTTTTTGTTTGTGCATGAAAACTGTTGAGTTTGTTTGAAATGGCTGAAGATTCTTAATTGTTAGGTATGTTGTAATACCTTGTGTCTTTAAAATACACTTTGGGTTTTTTAGCTAAATCAGTGTAAAAGGGAATAGTTCCCTCTCTAGCATCGCTACCAGCTGGCTGTTTTGTTTTTTCATTGAACTTGTGTTTGAGTTGGCATACGTATCAGTATTCATTTTGGCAGCTATTTTTGATTTAGTCTCAGTCTTTAGACGAAAAATGCATATTAGTTTTAGTCACATTTAGTCGTTATAATCCTTCTTAGTTTTTGTCGACGAAAACTAGACTAAAATCACCCCCATACTCAAGAAACCTGGCCTAGCCCCCTCCTGTCTTAATCACTACCACCCTATTTCCAACCTCCCCTTCCTCTCCAAAACCCTTGAACGCCTTGTCTCCACCCAGCTTCAATCCCACCTACATTCCAATAAACTGCTTGAACCCCTTCAATCTGGCTTTCGCCCCCTACACAGCACAGAAACTGCACTCCTCCAAGTCCTCAATAACCTCCTCACCTCTGCCGACACCGGAGCCCTCAACATCCTCATCCTCCTGGACCTAAGTGCAGCCTTCGACACCGTGAGTCACACTATCCTGTTCACCAGACTCCAAGCCATCGGTATCGAAGGTACTGCACTCAGCTGGCTCCAGTCATACCTCACGACCAGATCTCACTTCATCTCCCTTCACAAAAACTCCTCTGCCACATCCAGAGTTACACAAGGTGTCCCCCAAGGCTCTGCATTAGGTCCACTCCTGTTCATAATCTACTTATTCCCCCTTGGTCAGATCCTTCGTCACTTCAACCTGGACTTCCACTGCTATGCTGACGACACTCAGATCTACCTCAGCACCAACACCCCTCACAACCCACCGCTCTCCCACATCAACGCCTGCCTCTCTGCAATTAAAGCCTGGATGCAACAGAACTCTCTCAAACTCAACAGCGACAAAACACAACTCTTCCTCATCGGCTCCAAATCTACCCTCACCAAAACCAACAACCTCACACTCATCATCGATGGCATATCTGTTTCCCCCTCCCCCCAGGCACGCAACCTTGGCGTAATATTCGACTCCACCCTCTCCCTTGAGCCACACATCCGTCAACTGGTCAAAATATCCTTCTTCCACCTACGCAACATCGCAAAAATCCGTCCGTCTCTCACACCCCCTACAGCAGAGAAACTCATCCACGCTTTCATTTCCTTCCGTCTTGACTATTGCAACTCACTCCTCTACGGCATCAGCAACACCTCCATGAATAAATTACAACTGGTCCAGAATGCAGCTGCACGACTACTCACCCACACCAAATCATGGCACCATATCACCCCAGACCTGAAAGACCTCCACTGGCTCCCCGTCTCCCACCGGATCTCCTACAAAATCTTGACCCACACCTACAAAGCCCTCCACCAACTTGCACCTCCCTATCTCTCTGAACTCCTTTCCCCCTACCAACCTCATCGGTCCCTCAGATCCACCTCGGCCAGACTACTTTTCACCCCCACATCCAAACTCCGCAGCTTTGGGGACGGAGCATTCTCCAGGGCAGCTCCCAAGCTCTGGAACTCACTCCCCATTCTCATCAGAGACTCTGACTCAATCACCACATTCCAGTCCCGCCTTAAAACACATATTTTCTCATCTGCTTACCCGTAGCCCCCCTCCCTTCCCCTACCCTTCTGCGCACTTCTATCAAAAGGATCCACCTGTCACGTGTGTGGCGCCTCTATGTTGCTTAGTAACGAGCGTACCGTGGCCGAGACGGTTTAACACCGTCTTCTCACGATGTGGCGCGTGAATTATAGTTGAAATGCGTGAGGCTTCAGAACCTGCAATGAGTTTATTACGTTAGACGCGTTTGTAACGGAGCGTCTCATCCAGCGAGGAAACGCTGCCTGCCGTCGCCAGAGAACAGAGCAGAAAGGTCCGACAGTCTGTTAAACGGGTCTTCATGTTTCTGTGAAGCAGCGCGGCTTCAGCCTGCTAACAGTCAGCTAAACAGAGACAGCTGAGCTAAACTAACGAAGCCACGTTCAAACTCGCCGAAGCGTAAAATAGTCATTGCGGTCCGTAGTCGGTGCACAAGAACACAAGAACCACGGTTCATGGATGACGTCATCATGACGCGTTAATATCCGCCGTACTTTGCCTGTCTGTTGTCTGTTAACGAAAGTTAGACTAGATTTAGTCACAGTTTTGATTTTTTAAGATATTTTTCGTCACGTCTTAGTCCTGTCTTATGGAAAAAAAGGTTGAGTTCTCAAGAAATTCGCCATTTCCCATGTCGAACACTTGTGCAAATCCGCTGGAGCTCCCTCTCCTTGAAACCTAGTGTCTTTAAGACAAACATGAGGTTTGGTTTACAGAACTCTCCAGGCTTTGGGTGCATTTAATCCTGTGCCATGTCTGGATTTTTGTCATGCAGTTCATAAAGCATACAAAGAGTGCATGCCCAGTTCAGTTCCAAGTTTTTTAATGATTGTTATTCCCGTTCATTACTTAAGTGAACCTGATCATCAATAAACAGCTAAGCCATATTCGAGAATGTTTTCCTTTAACATCTGGCCTTTAAGTGTGGGCTGCAGTGGACCATATTTATAGGCCAGCTATCTCTTTCAAGGTGACATATAGTTCTGAGGCTGACTCCCAATTATGTGGCTGCTGTAATCCATTTTGCATAACAGTTTGTTGAAGATAATCCTGCATGTCTGGATCCCTGCATGGATGAAGAGTTTGCCTTGACTCTGGAAATGTATCCAGTTCCCTGTCTTCAATGGCCAATCCACAGTCCCTTGAACTACACCTGCATAGTGACACAATAATTCATCATAAAGGGAAAACATGACTAGACCCAAATGTAATTCCAATGTGGTGCAAGTTATTATTTCATACACGTATCTGTGTAAGAATGGAAAAGTCAATTTATTGTCAGTCGATATGGAATTAGCTGTGAGGCAAGAGATAGAGTTCGTCTGGAATTCCCCCAGGACGTGATGCAAGTCTGGAGGGTTTAATCCTGTGCTGATTCCAGAGGTTGTTTCGTTGTGGTTTCTTATCTATCTTTGTGTTTTCCTATTTGCCGTGGTGGTTTCCCATTTGTCGTTGTGTTTCCCTATTGGTTGTTGTGGTTTCCCATTTGCAGAAAAGCAGAGTTTGAGCTCCAAGTCTGTGGTGTGGTGTGGTGATGTTTAACGCCGTGTCTTTGGGTAAATGTTTCGTTCATCTGCCAACCGAGTCTTCGGGTCAATGATTCGTTCATCGTTCATTCTTCACGTGACCTGCATAGGCTCAGCACTGGTAGCGAGTAGATCAATGATTCGTTCATCGTTCATTTTTCACGTGACCTGCAGAGGCTCAGCACTGGTACCACTTGGTTGGCAGAAGGATCATTTTCCACGTGACCTGCATTCAACGAATCATTTCTGTTTCCTTTGCTGAGCCTATGCAAGTCCCGATGCGTGGCCATGAGAAAATGAACAAATCTTTTTTTGAGAAAACTCGTTACTCTCGAGTCCTTGTAAGGATTCGTTCAAAATAAACGAATCGTTCACGAACGACACATCACTACCTTGGAAGCACTTTGCAGTTGTATGTGTCTCGAGGCTCTGGAGAAGCTTTGTGAAGTCTGAGAAATTAATCCTGGTGATGTCACCAGGGTTATCTCAGCTTCAGCTCGGGGACTTTAAACCCAACTTTGAAGTTGGGGGATGGAGTGTAATGACCAGCCATAAGGGTTTTACAATAGAAATTGTTGAATTCAGTCTGTTTAGACCTTAACCAACATCTGCAACAAAAAATCTCTATATTTTGGTAGCCTTTGCATCAATATAGACAGATCTGTCTAGATCTCTTTCGCGAGTCCAACAACATTATGGACCAGCAATGTTAAATGCAGAGAATAGCTTTAAAGATGCTGCTGAATTCTAGTAGTGCCAATTATAATTTTCAGGGAACCGTGTGACATGTGGTTTGGTGTCTTGGGAGTGAACGGTAGAACTCTGAACTTGGAGCTCAAATTCTGCTTTTTACTCTGCAGAGATGCCCTGTTATTAGAGAGGACACAGCGAAAGAGGCTTTTGAAAATGCGGGACCCTTTATGGTTCAGTTTGGTGATGGCTTTGGTGATCCTGAATGTGGTTTAAAACAACATATGCATGTTCAGTTTATCGTTCTGTCAACCTAATTGAGTAATTTATAGAGTTATTGTCTGTGTTTAGGCCTCACAAGAAAAAAGAAAAAGGGTGAAGACAAGTAGATATCAAAAGTGTATTGCAACATGCGTGATCGAGAGAAACATCGTGACTTGATTGGATATTGATTAAAAAAATCTTATCTTTCAATTTCCAGATGAAAACCTCCTTGAGGAAAAAGCAAAAAAGACGCGGACACACCATGTTTGTAACAATAAACTATTTTTTTTCATATTTACATCTGTACCTAATGTGCAAATTAATAATTTATAGTAGTGTAAAACTCTTAAAGGAATACAAAATCATATCTTACAGTCCTAACATGGTGAGAGTCCATGAATCTGTCACATACAAACAAAGAGGAGCAACACTGCAGTATGTACAGGAGAGAGACAGAAGCCAGGGAGCAGTGGACATCCTAGATATGGAAGAAGAACAGACAGACAATCTCACACTGGACCGGTGACACATCTATACTGCAGGTCACCGCGCTGTGCTAATAGCATGACTGCACACTGAGGTTGTTTGTGTAGAAGGGGAAGAGACACGTGATCACACTTTGGGCAAATACGCATCATTCTACACTTCTCATCTAACACATTGACCGAATAGAGTAGTTAACAGGCGATTCAGGGAAACACACCAGGCACGCTGCATATTTTAGGGGCAGTACATCCTCTGCACATTGTTCGGTGTGTTTTTTTCCGAAGAAAGCATCTTGAAACATTTGAATGGTAATCTTGTTAACGGAAGCCAGTTTGGCAGTGCTTGAGGCCTTAAGGAGGTTGACTCCGGGTACAAACGTGAAATGATATCTTACACACTATCTTGAGTCAAATTCTGACACAGGAAACCCTGGCAAGAACAAAGTTACACTTAAGAATTCAGATAGTTTTACATTTTCACCCTAATCCAACATTACAATCTATCTCCTTACAAAAGCACACCGTGACAATCCTTTACAATTTACAAGACACAGTAAACCTACCGTAACTATATTATTGGTGCATAGACAAAACTGAGAGAGGGTGTAGCAAAAATCACCAATTTATTGCTTTAGTCTAATATAAATCTCTCATTGAATTTCTTTTGATTGCAAAACAACTACAAATATCTGAAGAACCAAGCAGAGGTATTGCATTCAAACTGATTAAAAGAGCTAAAATGTTCCCTCCTGATGAGATGCAAATCTTTTTGTACTTTAAAAAACAAAGAACTTTCCCTTGAATACAGAAAGTTACATCACAGAGAGATGACTTTCACTCTAAAACAAGTAAAAGTAAACTTCAATGAGAACAAAATGAAAAAACAAACAAAAAAACAGCGCAATTTCTGGCCAAAGCTGTTCACCGTTTCAACTTCTTCAACTGCTTCCATATAATAAAAAAAATAATAAACCTTACTAACAAGTGAGGGGTGACAGGAATGCAAGAGCAGTCAATCAACAAAATAGGAAAATGTTTGCCGTCGGGTTTTTCTAAATGCGGAGTGCAGATGGTGTCGTCCCCTAGCGTCTCCCGCTGCTTGGGGCTGTGAAGGCTACGCGGGCCTCTGCGCTTTGCTCTCCCTCTCCCTGCGCCTCACCTCCTCTCTGTAGCAGTAGGAGCAGTAGTAGTCCGTCTCTGGCCTGCCGTAGAAGGAGCAGTTCTCCCTCTTGCAGCGGCGCTGCTGGAAGCAGTACAGAGGGCTGACGGTGCCCCGCACTTTGGTTTTCTCCTGGTTCAGCCACGCATGAGACGAGTTGTCCTCAACAGCAAACTCCAAGCAGTCCTGAATGTCTCCCGCGTTGAATCCGTTGGTGTAGGTGTGGGACTTGTGTTCGCCAGGCATGTTGTAGGACAGCGTCTCTGCAGCGTTAACAGTGCGGGTCCCAGACAGACGCGCGGGGCTGTAGCTCTGGGACGAGAGTGTGCGGTTCTGCTGGGGGTAGGTGGCGCACGTCTTCAGGGTGCCCACCACAGGTTTGTACGGGTCATCTTGGAAGATGGATGATTGCAGGTTGACATCTTGTAAGTGAATCACGCTGTGCCGCTGGATGGACGGCGTATGGCTGTAGTGGGCCGACACCGGAACGGGCACGGGTCTCTTGGCACCAATACTGGGGGAGGAGTAAGGCGCGGGCGCCGGGGCGGCCGGGGAGGCTGTTGGCGGGGTGAGTGGAACGACTGGGACAGAGACGAGAGGGGCTGCGGGACCGGGACTGTTCCTGCCCTGCACCCTGAGACCCAGCGCGGGCTGGGGGTTGTGGTTGCAGGCGTGGGCGAGGTGAGGCAGGGTGGGAGAGCCGCTTTCCGGCGGCGAGCTGTCCGACCTCTCCCTCTGGAAGATGCTCTCGTGCTCGGGCTTCTTCGCGGCCACCTCATTGGTGGCGGGCGGCTTCTTCTCGGCCTCCTTCCGCCTCTGCTCCTGCTCCTGACTGAAGCGCTCCTGGGCGTTGGTCAGGTAGTAGCTGATCATCTCCTCGTGGAACTGGTGTCGATGGCTGGTGAGTAGGAGGCCTGCGAAAATGAACTTGCGCTCCCCTTGCATGGCGGCTCGCAGGATGTTGAGGCTGAGCTTGACGTCGGTGCTGTATTTCCAGTTTTCCAGGGTCTTCTCTCGCGCAGCGCTGTCCTGTCTCCCCGGGGGGCAGGAGCTGGAGGGTCCGTCTCGGTCTGTGGGGGAGGGACTAGTGGCCTTCTCAGAGGAAGTGGAGCTGGCTGACTGCCCCGACTCCTCCTTGTTCCCTTTGGTTGACTTAGACTGTTTTTTCTTTGTCTTCTCCCCTCCATTCTCCACGCTGCGACCTGAGCCAGCGTTAGATTTGTTCATTTTTCCGTGCACAAGGCCACCCAGACCTCCCATGTTCTTCTTCAGCTTGATTCCCAAGGTTTTGCTGAAGCTACCTAGTTTGTTGGCTACAGAATCGGCCCGGCCCTTGTCTTTGTCCTTGCGCTGCTTGTCTTTGTCCTTCTCCTTGCCGGGCTTGCCGTTGTTGACGTTGGAGTTGCTGCCGACGGACTCGCGGTCAGAGTCCATGGACTCGGCAAGAGACTGGACATCCTCACCTGCAGAGGCTGTGGGAGACTCCGGCTGAGCGAGGGGAGCCTGCATAGAAATGCACACACACATAAGTACAGTAATCAGTAAAACACAGCAATGACGTCTAACGGACTTCCAATCTATTCCAGACAAATTCCCCAACAGATATAAAAAGTTAGGGTCTTTGATGTCTTGATTTTCGGTGATTTATAGCCAGAACAAACAGATGAATTCTTAGGGTTATTGCAGTCTGACAGTAAATGTATCTGATTGATTGAACAGTATGCAGTTTCAAGAACATCTGGAATCTGAAGTCTCCCCAGGGCTAAATTACCCGTGACGAACCACAAACACGTGTGAGAAAGAGTTACCCTTGTTTCCGATGGAATTCGGATCCATGTTACATTCATGTAGTTGTGCAGCAGGATGAGTTTGGCCTCAAGAGACAAGATGAGACTGTGGAGAACAATTAACAACACGCAGTGACATAACAGTGTTTTTGACCAGAATTCGGTGGCATATTTAGCATATTAATGGAACGGACTTAATCTTTATATTATCTTTTACTGTTTTGTAGTATCTGGACCTTGAGTCTAAAATAAAAGTTTGATTGATTATTAATTAGAGAAAACTATGAATGCTTGCAATGCATTAAGGGTAATATATGGTATGAAACATTCAAAATTATTTATTTTTGAAAACAGCAAAATATCTTTCCACTTGAAACATGAAACAAAACCCTTTAAATCAAGATAATTCAGAGACCCACCAGCTAGGCCCGCAAGCGGTATCAGCAGGCAAAAAGAACGACAGAACGACGAGATGTGACATTTAATAGAGTACTTGACTGAGCTGTAACATAAGCCAGCTCAGTGGTGCTAGGTGAGCTTGCAGGATCTATTATATCCTTCCTAAATAAGGAAATACGGTTGGCAGGTGTAGTTTGGTTGACAGAAAATAGATCCTACATGAAACCAGGTCTGTGGATTATCTCTAAAGAAAGACACATTGCTGTAGTTTTTTTGAGTCACTTCTCGTCCCAATATATTCAAGACGGCCAAAATGTCCTTGGCTCCATCCAAAAACGTAGACAACTCGCAGCAAAACCATCTCAACTGATAAATAGAACTACTGCTGAGAGAACAAATTTGCACTTTTGATCTTGAGGTGAACTGTTGAATGTTTAGCTGACCCCTTTCCGGACAGGAATGCAAACCCTCACATAAACTCACATAAAAGTGTGTTGCTGCTCTGGTGAAGCCATTCCTTGGAAACCCTTATGGACGACTGACGTGTCTCACCATTTGTTCCCCCTCTGCTCACTCTTTAACGTCACCTGAGCTCACAGACTCATAATTAGAGGGTGAAATCCCCCACGTACCGCCCAGATGTTTTCCATCTGCGTGGGAGCGCCGCAGTCAGCGTCACTGTGTGCTTTGTTGATGAGCATCAACAACCTGCTATAGGCTCAACGGGACTTACTTGGCTAGCAGGGTATTATCATTGTCGTCCCTCCCCCACTCCCAGTCCCTGCCGGGGTCCACGGCAAAATGGAGTGCCAGCAGCTTGTGCTCAGAGTCGGTCAGGGGGATAACAGCTGGAAGAGATGAGATTATCAGAAGGTTAGTTTAGTCTGGCTTTACCACCAGAGTCTACGTCTCACACCACCCGCTCCCTCACAAATAGAACTAGAGTAATGCCATGTTGACTATCTCAGAGGCCTGTCTGCATGGGCTAAAGTACACTGTAGTGGCATCTCTGGTCAAGTGTAACCATGCTATGTACTTTTTCCCCATGAGGACGTGTCTGAAAACAAAATTACAATGTGAGTTGAAGCTATTCTGGATCTGGAATCATATCAGTACAATCAAAAGCTTCAAAACAGTGAGTTTTCAATTTAAGGTTGGATTTTTTCAACAAACAGGGATAAGATGTCTTAAAAGGGCATCAGACAAATTAGACATTTTAACATCTACAATTCTATGACAACTCCGTCCACCGAGGAAGATTAGCTGATTGATTAATGTAATGGGAAAATGATATGTGACCCTTTTAAATGCTTCATTTGTATAACCAGTTTATTAGTTGCAAGTGCTTAGGTCACAAAGGCCCTGACATAAGAACTGATGTCTCCCACTTGGATTAGATGTTTCCAGCGTCATAGCTGTAGAGATTGAACAAAGTGTTTGTTATGTCTATGACCACCTTTGTTTAAGCATGTTGGGAGAGCAGGGACACGGTCATAGAACTGACGTGTCTTACATGGATAAGATGTTCCCAGTACCCTGGCTGTAGATACTCAACAAGATGGTTAACGGTTTCTGTTGACGCCACCGATATCTAAATTTAGGTATAAGAACTGCCTCGATGCGTTGGGGGAAAAAGGAGGTTCTTGACAGTCTACTGACCACGTAGCTGTTGTGACCCTTTTTCCCTTACAAGGAAATAAACGGAGAAAAGACATACTTGACTCAGAGCCTTTGTTTCTTACTTAACGATTGTCTGTGCAAAATCTTCCACCACAATTTGGTGTCAGAAGTGGGATCGTTTGAAGCTCCGTCGGGACTCCGAGGACGTCCGGGAAGGGGCCCCTTCAGGATCCACCAAAACGTGATTCTGCCCTATACCTCATCACACTCAGAGAGAGGGGACCGGCGACCAAAAGAGACCTGATTGGCTTCAACACGATCCGATGAGGAAGATTTTCACACGAATCGGGTAAGAAGTTGATATTCTGATTTTCAAACGGGGCTTCCTGAATTATAACGGGTGATAACAGATTACAAAGACGGGTATTTAGTACTTTGGGATTTTTTAAATTATTTTTTCTCTCTCTTCTTAGAAAATCCAAATTTCGGTTATTTGATTGGGCTTATAATGATGATAACTTGTCTTTTATTTGGTTATCCGGTTATTTGAAAAATGTGTATAAAATTATAAGAGTAATTGTACAGTATTTCCGGTTCATCAGCATCCAACTTTTTACTGAGGAAGACAGGGAGCAATGTGCGCATTTACGATTGTATTCAGACTAACTATCTGAAAATCGCATAATTGTGACCCTTGACCAAGGGGGAAGACAGGGGCAATTTGCGTCGCATTATTGTGACCCTTGACCTAAAAGGGGAAGACAGGGGCAATTTGCGTATTACGATTGTATTCAGACTAACAGTCTGAAAACGCATAATTGTGACCCTTGACCAAAGGGGAAGACAGGGGCAATTGACAATTGTGACCCTTGACCGAAGGGGAAGATAGGAGGGATTTTGAGAGTTCACTGAAATCGCAAAATCTCAGCCCTTGACCTAACAGGAAGACAGGAACAATATCGGGGTTTTCGGACAGTAATCTGAAAACAGATATTTGCGCCCTTGACCTATATTTATTAACCAATAGTTCTGGTTGGGTTTTAACTTGTATTTTTCCTACGTAAAAGAAAATCAAGACTTATAGTGACGACTATATTTTAACTACTTCACCACGCCTGAAAGATGGGTGGTGTACACGGTAAAGGTAAAAAGGAAATGGGTTCTCCGGAGGGACCCATTGTGGATCTGATGAGAAGGAAATATGGAGATCAATCTCTAGAGTTTTTGCCCGAGTGGTCAAAAGATTTTGGGTTCCCTGCAAATGGTTCTTTCAGTAGAATAAAACTGAACATGTTACGAACAGGCTTAGAGGGAAAAGAGAAGGGTATAAAAACTCAGAGGGTGATAAAAGGCAAAGACTTGGAGAACATTGAGAAACAAAGTAAATGGTTAAAATGGTGGGAGGATGAATGTGAATGTAGAGAAAGGAAACAATTGGCTAAAGAATTGAAATGCGCAAAAACCACATTGGTTGAAAAACCAGATCCAAATGTTATTGAACAGAATGACCGATGTGCTTCTTCTCCCTTGTATCCGAGTCTCACAGGGGCTGGCGGCCCTCTCCTCAACACATGCCCACCACCGTACCCTGCTTCATCTGTGAACCAACAGGAGACGCTCTGGGGACGTGGGAATCACACCTGAAGAATGCTTTCATGAATGGACTATTGCCCGACATAAAAATGAATGTGCAGCGCTCTGTTGCTGGAATGGACTGGCCAGACGAGGAAGGGGTGGCAACGCACATTCCGATTGACGTGAGGCGGAGGGGGAGGAGGCTGCATGTGAGGGGGAGACGGCAACCATGCTGAGGCCTCACAGGGGAAGGGAAGTAAAACACACACACACACACACCACAGCCTGCAATGAAGAAACGCTTTCTGCACTAACTCCCTGCACTCACACTCACACTCACACTCACACACCAGAGCAACAACAAGCTCTCATGGACATCACAGAGCAATTGAGAACACAACAAAAGCTTTCACTTAAACACACATATGCAAAGTTTTCAGGAAAATCATTTGAAAATATGCCCACCACTATGGTGCAAATTGAAGGGAAACTTTTATCGTTTTTGGTTGATTCGGGGGCTACACATTCTGTAATACAACAGAAGTATTTTCCAGGTCAGAAACTTAGTGGAAAACAGGTTTTCTCACAAGGAGCTTCAGGGATGACTATTGTAGAGGGGTTTACGGCACCTATGACCAGTACACACACTGACTCAACTGACCCTGAACCAGACATCACAGTAAAACATTCCTTTTTGCTGTCCTCTACCTGTCCCATTAATCTAATGGGCAGAGACCTCATGTGTTCTTTCGGCATTAGCCTCATCTCCACTCCTACAGGGTTGCAAGTGGTGAGATGCAGAGCCATTGACCAGATGGCAAAGACAGTTATGAGTGATCCAATGTTTGTGTACCAGTGGTGGCTTCCGGTTGACTCACAATCAGAACTGTCCCACCTGGCAGCATCACGCGTCCAGCCTGAGGCAGAGTGCATGGATGCTTCATATCTCCACTGCACAGCTCATGTGTCACATGGGCCAGATAAGCAATATGATGCATTATTTCTACAGGATCTGAATGATCAGATTGCATGTATGACATTGTTTTGGTCCACACTTAAATGTGCTGTTTCCGTTTCTCTCACCCCCTCTCAGCAGCACCTCTTTAATGTGGACTCTTCTTTCCCACACATCTCCTTGTCTAAAGCAGCAACAGACCAATGGAGAGATTTGGGACCTTTTGTCGCAGCGTGCGAGGCATTGACAGATTGGGAGGCTACACCAGATCCACTTGTGATGCGCTCTCCGTCGACAGGCTTCTTTAAACAGCCATTCGCATTTTGCACACCTGCTCTCAGATCTGTTTATGTCATGGATGAAAATAACATATTTTCTGACACACACACTGATACATTTTTGACTAATGTCTCCTCTATTTCTCCTGCCCTCAGTTCTGTTCCAGACACCTTGTGGGCAGCGCATAAATATGACGTGGGACTCATCAAAAAATGTCAACCTGTGGTCATCACTCCTCGATCAGACTTCCGTCCCCACAAACATCAATACCCACTGCGCCAAGAGGCCATTGACGGTATAACACCGGTGTTCAACTCCCTCTTAAAGGCCGGAGTCATTGTTCCATGTCCTGACTCGCCGGTAAGAACACCTATTTTTCCAGTTAAAAAGATCAGAGATGCAGGCAAACCAACTGAGTGGCGATTCGTGCAGAACCTAAAAGCAGTTAATGCAGCCGTCCACGCACGAGCCCCAAATGTTCCCAACCCTTACACCATTATGGCACAGGTTCCACCTGATGCTCGATGGTTTTCCGTGGTTGACCTCTCAAATGCTTTTTTCAGTGTCCCTGTAGACATTGACAGTCAGTTTTGGTTTGCGTTTAATTTCAATGGCAAGCCTTACACTTTCACACGCTTGTGTCAGGGCTACACAGAATCACCTACGATCTACAACGAGGCACTCAGGGAAAGTTTGGAGAGCCTCACTTTGTCTCCAGGAACAGCGCTTTTGCAGTATGTTGATGACTGTTTAATTGCAGCTCCAACACAACAGCAGTGTGAACAGGACACACTCAAATTGCTTCAACACTTAGCAGCGGAAGGACACAAGGCCAGCCTATCCAAACTACAGTTTGTTTCACAAAACGTTTATTTCCTAGGCCATAACATTTCCGGTGAAGGGAAGACACTATCACCAAAACGCATCGCCTCAATTGTAACACTTCCAAAACCACAAACCAAGAAACAGATGATGTCATTTTTGGGAACGTGTTCCTACTGTAGGTCATTTATTCCAAATTACTCCCAACTCGAGCAACCTCTGTCCGCATTGATACATGGAAAGAATCTCAGCGCGCATGATAAAATTCAGTGGCTCCCTGCAGCCTCTCAAGCTTTCACGGACATGAAATGCGCGTTACAAGTTCCTCCGACTTTGGGTCTTCCTGATCCTCACAAACCGTTCACACAAACCGTTGACGAACGTTCTGGATGTATGACATCAGTGCTCCTACAATCCCATGGCGATAAACAACGACCAGTAGCTTATTTCTCTGCAAAACTCGATCCGGTAGCAGCAGGCTTACCACAGTGCCTTCGAGCTGTGGCAGCTGCTGAAAAGGCTCTTACAGCCTCTCGTGACATTGTAGGCTATGCTACGCTAACATTATTGGTTCCACATTCGGTTTCACTGATTCTTCTCGAACAGAAGTCGTCTCATTTATCTGCAGCGCGTTACCTTCGATATCACACATGTCTCCTAGACATGCCGAATGTTACAGTAAAACGCTGCAATGTCCTCAATCCTGCGTCTCTTCTCCCCACTCCGGAGGATGGAGAGGAGCATAATTGTTTGGCTGAGCTGGAAGCTCAGTGCATACCTCGACCAGACCTCGCAGATACACCTCTGCTCAACAGTGACATGGTAATGTATGTTGACGGATCTGCTTCACGGGATCCCCTGACTGGTTCTAATCTTGTGGGTTTCTCTGTTGTTTCAGACTCAGCTGTTCTGTGCTCCGGCCCTCTTCCATGTCACCTCTCAGCCCAAGCAGCAGAATTAATCGCGCTAACAGAAGCTTGTAAACTAGCTAAGGATAAAACGACAACCATTCACACTGATTCCAGATACGCTTTTGGCGTGGTTCATGATTTCGGCGCGCTGTGGAGACACAGAAATTTTCTCAAATTGGATGGCAAACCAGTGTTACACCACACTCTGATAGCAGAACTATTGGATGCCATTTTGTTGCCCACAGCTATTGCCGTTTGTAAATGTGCAGCGCACACATCCGGCACAGGCGACATCGCAAAGGGGAATGAGCGAGCGGACTTAGCTGCAAAAGCGGCTGCTAGACGTCCTCTTCCCAAACCATCACGCCCAGTTCCTGCCATGTGTTCTCTTCCCTCCTCTCTTGCAGCCGTGCAGTCCCTCTCTACTTCAGATGAGAGACGTTTTTGGTCCTCCTCAGGCTCCAAATTCATAGACGGCATCTGGTATGGTACGAATGGTAATCCATGCTTACCTAAACATTTCTTCCCTCACTATGCGAAATTGACTCATGGGTTAGACCATGTGTCAAAAGGGGGAATGTTAAGTATCATTGATGCAACATGGTTCACAAAAGGCTTTGCAGCTTACGCACAAAGGTTCTGCCAAGCATGCATAACATGTGCAACTCACAATGTAGGTCGTTCAGTACAGGTGTCACATCATGCAGCACATCCACCGCCTGCAAGACCGTTTGAACATGTAATGATGGATTTTGTGGAACTCTCCCCATCGGAAGGTAAGAAACACTGTCTTGTAATGGTAGACATGTGGTCCAAATGGGTTGAGGTGTTTCCCTCCAGTAAGCAGACAGCCTCCACAGTGGCTAAAGCCTTGATTTCAGAGATCATTCCCCGCTGGGGAATCCCAAGCAAAATTTCTAGCGACAATGGTTCACATTTTGTCAACCAAGCAATCACAGAATTAAGTGCATACCTGGGTATTGACTTAAAAACACACTGCGCATACCATCCAGCTAGTGGAGGAGCGGTAGAGAGAGAGAATGGAACATTGAAAACAAAACTGGCCAAATGTTGCACAGACACGGGTCTACCGTGGACAAAAGCACTGCCCTTGGTTCTGATGTACATGCGGATGAGGAAACGAACACGCAGCAACCTAAGCCCATTTGAAATCCTTTTCGCAGTTCCTCCCCATATAGGTGTGGAAGCTCCTGGAACACCACTCCCTTCCACCACAATGTGCGAGAATGACATGTTAACCTATTGCATTCGACTGTCTTCCACTTTGTCTGATGTAAGAAAACAGGTTGTAGCTGCACTTCCAAGAGAAGCAACGGGTCCACTACACCGACTGCAACCAGGTGACTTCGTGGTGGTAAAAGACTTCAGGAGGAAAAGTTGGAAAGCTAAACGGTGGCAGGGTCCATTCCAGATTCTCCTGGTCACCCAAACAGCGGTCAAGGTAGCTGAAAGAGCAACTTGGGTCCACGCATCCCATTGCAAGAAGGTTCCAGATCCAGTACCAGCAGTGGGCTCAGGCGACCCTACCTCCACAAAAAGTGTCAATCAACCGACACCACCGATCCAGTGACCACGGACGGGCAGTTGACCGACAGACACACAGTGCATTGTGATCTGTGTTGACTGTCTACAACGCGGGTGCCTCACAAGAAAGAAGGTTGGCAGACTCCACATCCCAACGTGTACCTGCGGACCAACACAAGAAGAAGAACACGGCCAGGACCCCTCCACATAGACACAGTAGTCGTTTGTGTCACTACGGTTTTATTCATATTATTGCTTGCTTCAGTTTCATTATATCTCAGCATCTTTTTGTGATTCCGTAGTCCGCTGCCTAAAGAGTGGTTCTCTCTTATCATGGAACGACTCTGACGTTAACCCCAACAGTGACTCGGACTCCCTTGACGAGCTGAACACTTACGACCTCGACACATACGCATAGTGACATAGTGACACACTGTCTGTGTGCATTCCTGGTGTTCTAAATGTTTTTGGTTTCACAGTAGCTTGCTAAAACAATGAGAAATAACATTTTCACAAAAACAGCTTTTATCCCTGCATTTATTAGTATGTAACGTAAATATGATTGATATAATGACCTTTCCACAATATTCTATATCTGTGTTGTGTGATGTGTCAAGTTCTGGTATTGTGATTTAAACATGTTTTCATTTCTTTTTTATTTCAATACTGTACACATGACATCTGGGGTGTAACGCTCAAATCCTGTGAGAAGGTTTCCAGTCTTTATCTTCTCCTAACAGATTTCTTCCTATTTTCCCATTTCGGAGGGTTTTTTAGGGAGTTTTTGTTCTGTGGCAGGCAAAGTTTTGTGAGCGATGTCCAGATGTTCATGTTTTGTGATATTTGATGTGGTAGATATCGGATGGTAAATTTTTAGAGTAGTCATTCTAAATTGATTGCATAGTTTGTGATTATTATGTAATCAAAAGAGTGGAATGTAATGGGGAAATGATATGTGACCCTTTTAAATGCTTCATTTGTATAACCAGTTTATTAGTTGCAAGTGCTTAGGTCACAAAGGCCCTGACATAAGAACTGATGTCTCCCACTTGGATTAGATGTTTCCAGCGTCATAGCTGTAGAGATTGAACAAAGTGTTTGTTATGTCTATGACCACCTTTGTTTAAGCATGTTGGGAGAGCAGGGACACGGTCAAAGAACTGACGTGTCTCACATGGATAAGATGTTCCCAGTACCCTGGCTATAGATACTCAACAAGATGGTTAACGGTTTCTGTTGACGCCACCGATATCTAAATTTAGGTATAAGAACTGCCTCGATGTGTTGGGGGAAAAGGAGGTTCTTGACAGTCTACTGACCACGTAGCTGTTGTGACCCTTTTTCCCTTGCAAGGAAATAAACGGAGAAAAGAAATACTTGACTCAGAGCCTTTGTTTCTTACTTAACGATTGTCTGTGCAAAATCTTCCACCACATTGATCATTTGTTCGGACCACTTTGAAAAAAGTGTGTTTTCCACGTCAAGAAATAATTGTGAAATGGGTTTTCATGGGATCTTTACACTCTGTAATGGTAACACTGCGATCTCTAGAGATAATACTCCAGGGGGGGTCTCAGCAAAGAAGCATTTCAACCACAGCCGTATTTAGGTAAATCCAAACTGAGAACACTTTAAATGTTGAGTCACAGAAACAAGTCAGGCCGTAATGTGATTCACAACACACAGCGTGGGTAATTTTACCATTGCTTTTTGTTTTCTCTTCCACATGAATTTGTCCTTGTTGATTTTCCTTGGTGCCTTCCTTTTGTGTATATTATTTTTATTTATTTTAAAGATGACTCCGACATCTGCAGAGACTTTGAGCTGTATCATTAGCAGGATGAATGACGGTCAAAGCTACAAAAATAGGACCCAGGTTGTGACAAACTGAAACCATCCGTTAGCTAAAGTAAAGGAGTCTCAGTCTGGCATGAGCCGACTATTTGGATATATATTGAGCTGAGTAGCGCTGCAGCCTTTTAGGAATGTACATGATGATTTAGTTTAGAGTCCAATCAGCCACTGGAGTACAGAAAGAAGGAGAATGAGTGCTAAATAATGTCATTCACACCCTGCTGGTTTGATCAGCTTCTTACAAGTAGAAAGATGTTTTTTTTAACATTAATCACTGGACAGACCACACAAAACAGACACCCACCCGAGCTTCCTCTCGTGGGCGGCGGTGCTTACATTACAAGAGCAGTGTGGGGGTGTATGTGTCCGGGTGCATGGCTGCCTTTCAAAACCAGAGTGTTAAGAGGACCAGCTAGACCCCACAGGTCCACGTGACCGCTCTCCTCAGGCAGCCTGCTGTGGGGGCTGTCGTCCACATGACAGCAGCCCCAGATGGACGATACCGCCTCCTCCCTGCCTTATCAATTCCTCTACTGCCAACTACTCTACTGACACTATTAATCATGCTATGTGTCAAATAGTGTTCGTACATGCAAAGGGATGACGCATTACGTCTCTGAAACCAGGGGCGGACTTACCATTAGGCGAAACTAGGCGGTTGCCTAGGGCCCCAAGGTCCTGAGGGGCCCCGTAAAATGCTCATACACTTATGGTTAATAAAGTTATCACTTATTTGCGTATATTAATTATATTTATGATTAAAATTCTCTCGCTAAAATGCCAGCGGAATGCGTATCGTATTATGTGTGTGTCGGGGCCCCCCCTTCAGTGTCCACTATATTGGATCAGTCCATCTTTACTGCGCATGTGCAGAACGGATCCAAGAAACGGCCAAAACTAAAACCTAACGGCGCGAAGTGGACAGTAAAAGGAGAGTATCACATGGATGAAGCGAAGCGACCCCAGCGGTGCTGAAAGAGGAGGAAGAAGGAAGAAAACCAAACGTCAAAGTTGCAGAAAGTGACAAGTTTCTTCACTGCTCCTGCGGCAGCGGCCAGCAGCAGCAACCCACAACCTGCTCAACCGACTTGGACACCCGTTGAGGAGGCTCCGTCAGTGTTATAACTTCATATTCATATCGTTTTAATGCGTGTTATCATTTACTGCTGTAGATATTTAAGATTAAGCTAATTTTGAATGAACTCATGTACTACGTTTTTGCTTTAAAAGTCACCCCACAATGGAAGACCCTTTCAGTTTATCACAAATATTAGCATTAAATCATCATTTGGAGGATACATGGTTTTCATTGGGCAGGAAAGGTTTGAAATATGTAACCAGCCATTTCATTTAATGTACTGTAGTGGAGTTTAAAGTACAGTGTTTGCCTCTAAGATACAGCAGAGCAGACACAATTGAAGTTGCATGAATTCCTCAAATGTCTACATTAGTAAATATACTGTACATTTCACCACTTAGGAAAAGCCTTATGCTGTGTTTTGTATTTGTTTTCAGAATGAGACAGGGATGGGCTGTAAGAGCGCTCCAGCATCATCCACTGTACTTCTAAAATGATCCACCAAAACAGCTGTCGGATAGTGCACGCTGCTCAATAGTGGAGAGAGGACCACTTCAGGTGAAGGACAGGATCTTCCCGAGGAATGAAGACGGGCACAGAATTACCAGCAGCAACTACATGCAGATGAAAAATGGAGAACAGATATGCAGATCATGGCTTGTTTACAGTGAAAAGAAGGACTGTGTTATTTGTTTTGGCTGCCGCCTATTTGGAAACAGAGAAAAATGATTTGCAAAAATGATCTGTTATTTGTATCGGACACCCGTGGTTGCTAAGCAAACACAGCTTAAACAGCTGAGTAAATACGTCACTAATAGCAGAATGAATCACTACACGTGTTATAAAATGTCACTGTTGGCTTTGCATTATACGTGTGCACGCATTTTACACCTTGCAACAGAAAAACATGACCAATGCCTGTGGCCCTGGAGAGAGAAACGGCAACGAGAGCAGGGTCATAGCAGCGGAAATAAGAGGGATTTCCTAGAAGGCTCCTACCCAGAAGAATTTAGTCATAATTAAAAACACACACAGACAGAAAGCAGTTAACTGGCTCCCACTCAGTTCCCACTAAGGGTCATGCGGCAGGCAGCGGAGGTGTGTGAGGTGGCGTCCTGGCTCCCACGATGCAGCTGTCCTCCTTTCACACCATTCCAAAGTTCTGTGTGTGTGCTGTTGTTGTTGTTCCCGCTTGGGCACGGTCCAGATTTTAGGATTCAACACTCCCAATTGAGCTCCGAGGGACTAAAGTGTGCTGAAATGTATTTACTATCGCTGTTGGCGGCCTTGTTTTGTTGTTCTTGAGTGACCGATTCCCATGGCTTACGCGTGGATGACATCATCACAGCCCTCCGCGGTATGCAAGCTGTGCACTCAGCAACATACCCGCCAGCCAGCATCGCCTTGCTACGTTGGCATCTTTGATTCGGCGGGAGGGCTTAGGTGTAACCTGTGAGGACACAGCTGTTGGAAATGAGGTGGTTAACCTTTCTTAGCATGCGCTTACGTGGTTTGATTGCTTTTTTTGTTTTTTTACACAAAATGAACATTACATTATATGTCATTTAGCGGACGCTTTTATCCAAAGCGACGTACAATAAGTGCATTCAACCATAGGGTACAAACTCAGGAGAACAAGAGACAAGAAAGTGCGATTGTGTCATGAGAGAGGATTCGCTCTCCTCTTGAAAGTGAAATCCTCAAGTGGGAATAAACCTCAACCATCGCAAGCTTATATTCACAGCAGGGACACTGGGCCAATGTTTCCAAATTTCCAAGAACAATTTGTACTGAAAAATTTGAATCCTTGACTTTGGTCACTCTGCAGAGCGGCAGATTTACAAAGGATTGCCTGAGCTTCTTTCTGCAACTGATTTTAACAGAGGAACCATGGTGGTAATTAGAAGAGCATCCTATTTGAGGTAACATATACAACTGCATCAAGTTTTAATTCTGATAGCCACATTGATTTAATTGCGCCAGCTGCATTTGGAGAAATACACTGGGTGTGCTTGATAGATAGAATAGTGGAACCTGGCCAGACCTGGGTGGGTTACTCCGCACCGTTATGTAGGTGGTCTTTGTGTAAAAGACGGCCATTTACTTCATTGAAATGTGTGTCAGGGGGTTGATGGTGGGATGCCAGAGAAAACCTGGAAGTGTTTTTGTTCAGCGGCCATAACTTGAAATAGCGCCACAGTTTTTTAGAGGTCCAGTTCCACTCATTCACAGTAACCACCGCAGTACAAACAAGCTAATAAAAGACATCGGCAACGGCGCCTACTCAAGAGCCAGTCATCATCACACAGCAGGTGACCAGCAGCAGGATGATAGAAAACACATAGAAAGCTCCGGGCTCACCTGACTACCTCATTCAGAAAATAGACACTTCACTGTTTTGAAAAGATTATTTAGCAATAACCTCTGACTTTACACACCTCTCCTATTTGTTTTTCACTATCCACCTAGCAGCCATTCAAGGGGTCAGCAGCAGTGTGATTTAGAGTCAGGTTACTGAGGGGGGGGACTTCCTTGTAACACACCGACGGCCCTACCGACGGCTGAAGAAAGAGCCAGTATTCCAAGCCAGCCTCTGGCACCTGAACACACCAGGGGCCAACGGCTTCTTGGATGCTCTTCGCTGTTGCCGGGGGAAACTGAGACCAAAGGCTCCACCTGATACGTCCACACACCGGCCTGACTGGAAGCAGAGAGGATGGGTCTATGTAGGCCTCACCCCGGGACCCCGTCTATATGTGGTGATGAAGTTAGGGCTTAGGGGCCCGGTGGTGCTCTTCCGTCCTAATTGGCATTAGAAGATTAGATCTGCCCGTCTATCTGACCCTCTGCCTGTCTGTCTGGTATTCGATCAGTGATATAAGCCCGTATTGTAGCATTTCTTAAAATTCAGAAAGACACACTCATAACATTATACATCATCATTACCTCTTACATACATAACAGAGGAAAACAAGCCCAGATTTGTATCATTGCGGTGAAATATGAGTCACTACATGACGAACAAATGCACCAAGCTAGGCGTGCAAATGTTTTCAGACTGCAAACAAAAAGCACTGTGATCCTATCACAGGACACAGTGTACCAGAATGAAAAAGTACAGTTATGTGTAGTGATCTAGCTACAGCCGGTTATTTGGACATATGCACCATCTGGTGGACAAAAGGAGAACCCGATCAGCCAGATTATAACGGCCAAAAGAAGGTGGAAGAGCTGAATAGCTAAGTGGTGTGTGGGGCGGGCTGCCTTTGATGTGCTGCTGGCATTAAAGACAATGACTTCAGGGCTCGGCCTGCAGGTTAGTAATCATGTCTGTCTGCCAGCCTGCAGTGGTTGTGCTCAGACTTAATAACCAGGTTGGTGTTAAAACGACGAGAACACGAAACTCACACGCTCAGAAAAGCACAAGAGGAGGAGGAGGAGGACAGGAAGCAAGAAACAGTTTGCATAAGTGTTCGAGGGGGAGAAGGAGGGAGAAAAGGAGCCAGAGGGACGGAGTTGGCCGGAAGCCCACACAAGAGACAAGCGAGTTCTCCACCCACTGAGTCAGATAAAGACGAGTGCCGTGACTACTTAGACTGGTTGTCAAGGAGATCCTCTCTATTTGTCAATTAAAAGGAACTCCATGTGAAGATTGCTCAGACCTCGAGAATGAGCAACACATCCGGAGTGGGAGCACAACAAGACGAGAACAGTCGCTCAAAGCAAACGGAAAGTCAACATAACACAATCGACGTGTCCTACGCAGCGACATACCACGGACCCCCGTGAGAGAGGCAAACTGCATAGGGAAACACGTACTGTAACAAATCTAAAGTCAAACAGTGACCTCGGAGAGAGAAATGTAGACAAACAACACTGTACAATTAAACGATTTGATCGGTGCTCAGTGCGTCCGCTGTCCGCTCCCCGTCCCTGTCGGCCCCTCCCAGCCTCCCACCGTCAACCGGCCTGCTTTAATAATGGATCACAGGTAATTAAACTGCTTTCTCATACATTATTCACCTCGGGCAGACCACTCGCCCTCATTCTTGCGATCAAGCCACTTAAAGTTAAGAGACTGCCTAACTAATGCACATTGCAGCGGGTGACACTGCTGTCAGGAAACACGAGGTCAAGAAAATCGCCAGATTCCTTTTCGTCAAGATTATGCAAGTGTTTTTTTTTTTGACGATGCACAGTTGCATACCTTGCTCTCGCTGCTGGTCTCTCTGCTCCATGGACACCAATGCGGAGAAGTGAGCCTGATCGTAGGCCAGGACCAGAGGGGAGCAGTGACACCGGCTCGGGGGAACCTCCAGAGGCAGATAGAGCCCTCCAAACGGGATGGGAGCAAACGCTGGAACGCAACATCTGGTGTCAGCACTCTGCTCATCCAACCCAATCAGTGCAAGATGCGGTCAGCCTACCTTCTCCCTCCGAGTCTCTGAGCATCGTGTCCGCCACCACTATGATTGGCCTGCGTAACACGTGGGCCAGCACAAACACATGGAACTCCTCCAGACTCTCATAGACCGGATCCTCAGAGTTATCCACCCTGCGAGAGAAACAACGACAACCATGTAACACAGTGGGATCATGGGATACTGTGACCGTTTCCTGACTTGGAATTGACTGGTGCAAAAAAACATCTGCCAAAACAGTAAATGCCAAGAGCCTGTGTGATCTGACCTGATCCGTTTTGCCCTCTGGCTACCTTAAACAGACTGGTACAAAGATCCGTATGAGATTGAATGAGAGAAGGCGGGAGAGATAAAGAGGGAGGGTGGCTTAAGGCCGAGAGAAAAAGCAGAGGCAGAGCTATCGGGCGTGAGACCACCAGGGAACCAAAGGATGTGCAACAATTAAGTTGTCAGCCACGCAGCCAAATTCACTCTAATAAAGATCCTCTTAATATGAGAATCCCACTCATCCTATTTAGGGGCTCATCTCGCACCAGGACAATCAAACGTCCCTGAACTGATTATTGTATTAGTCTAACTCAGGCAGGTTAAAACTCGCCAGAAAGAAGGAGTAAATTGTAGGATATTTTCAGTGAGGGCTTTGATACTGGGCGAGTTAATGCCGGCGAGGACGGCTAATTCCACAGTTATTCAATTGTTTTCAGATGCTGCTGTCCCACTATCAATACAATAGTCTTTGCCTGGTTTCTTACATGGTTTTTAAATGGACACTTTACATTTTTTAAACCGTATTTTCCGCAGACTGCCACAACCGGGTTGAATCCCATGTTATGTAAGTCAACAATATTTGAATGAACAGTTGTGTTTTTTTCTCGATCCAAAATAGAGCTGCGATGCCGATCGCCTACAAAACAGAAAGCGTGTGCAATTTCAGTGAGAATGGAAACAAGAGACAAACCACCAGGGTTCTGTGCGTAGGAGGAGGAAACTACATTTAGTTTCCAAACTGCCTCAGTAGCTTGTGATAAACCCACTCCTACACTTGTTTACGCAAAAGGTAGGGGTGGGGAAGGGTGGCGGAGACGAACGATTAATACCGATGGCAGCCAGTAGGTGGCACAGTCTCACACTGCAGCTTCGGCAATGTTATTAAATCATGCAGTCGATTAAAAAGAGCAACAGGATGAGGGGGAGCAATCAATTGCCACGACGCGCTCATCTTAGTGAGGAGGTCACTCCTGCTTTAATCGTGGGCCTCCTGCGGTGACTCAACGAACGAGCCATTACAGCGCGGCGGGAGAGTGTGATGTGGGACGAGAGCGGTGCGACTCGCCGTGGCTGCTCGGCTTCGTTGGGAACGGAAGACGCGCTGCGTCTCGGGAGGAAGAATTGGGGATGGAACGGCAGGGAAGTAGCTTACCCTCCACTCGTGTGGACGTTTTTGCTGAGGTGAGTGCGCGGCTCGCTGGAGGCCAACTTCAGCAGCTCGTTCCACTCCCTCTCCCACTCGTCCTCGGTGTACACCAGCCCCGACTGCACCAACACACACACACACGGACAATAGTTATCTCTATTCTTCATAGTTCATCTACCACACAACAAACCAAGACTCCAAGTGTTTACATGAGACCACCAATATGAACATCTGGACTGCTTCTTTGTCTTTTTGGTGACACCATTTTTCTATTAGATGGGCAAACACTTTAATCCAGGAACATCAAGAGAAGGGAGATGAAGTGCAAAAGGAATTTTCTGCTACTATTGCACCCTTGGTATCATTGGTAACACAGGTTACATGTGGCTCATCCCTCCGCTCGTTGTTATGGATTTGTTAATGGATCGTTCGTGAAAGTGGATCTGGTGCATTTACTCTTCCAACCTCCTTGTTCTGTTGGGTTTGCTGCCACCTCCACCTCCTCTTCAGAGCGTCTCTCTCCGCTCCGCTCTTCATCATGGTATACAGGGATTTCCTCAGCATCAGGTCTCTGTCATGGAAGCCCCACATCCCTGATCGACACAGACGCAAGATAGCGTTACTGCTTGGTGAGATTGAGGACATAAAAACAATGACACAGCCATTGCACCAGACTATATAATCGAAGGCCCTTTGTTGTCCGACTGCCAGTGTAAATTCAATCAGCTCTGGTGGCTCCAACAATGACAGCGCCGGCAGTCCTCAGACTGTGAAGTCAAACAATCTTCTTCAGCACGGACCCGAATAAACTGTCAACCCACTGAACCTGGGATGACAGTTTTCTGCAACACGTAGGTAAGTTATCTCCCTCCCGAACTTTTTTGCTCTTCCAAATAGTTCTTTCTCCCTCTCACCTCTGGATCCAGCAGCTGTGACGCAGCACAGACACGGTTAATAGAGAGCGTCTTGCACAGTTGTTACGGATGACATGGTAATATTACGTGTTGGGTATCCTCTAGTGCAGTGTTTTTCAACCAATGTGCCGCGGCACAAGGCTGTCAGGTGTGCCGTGAATTTTTTTTTTTTTACATACTGTCACTTCATTGGTGGAAAAAAAAGAGCCAACTTGTGTGTTTGTGTGTGTGTGTCGTCGCGCTGTTGGTGGTATGAAGGCTCAAGGACGCAAGGAGGTGTGAAAAGCGACACAAGGGAAAACGCAGAAGCATAAACTAGGCTTAAGAGATACCTGGGCATAAAGCCTGTGCCATCTTGGCATTAGGATGATGTTAAGTTTAATAAAACACAACAAATAGAACACGCGTTTCCCTGATTTCTTAGAGTATATTATGCTCATGCTGAAACTATGTTTGGATTGATATTTTTCTTTGACCTATGTCACTGGAACATTGGCCTATATAAACCTCAAAGACTAATGTGTGCAATATGTTTGTATGATGGTTCAATCAAAAATGCATTTGAGTAAAATCCCTTAATATTTTGTCTTGTATTTCTGAATGCAGGGTCAATGCTTGGATACATGCAAGGAGCAACTCAAGGCCAGGAGGAAGAATTAGAACAACCATCAATAAGTTCTGCAGACTATGTAACAACACTCAACCCTGACCAACAACCATCATACAGCCCAGGTACCGCATCCGCTTCTGAAGGCAGAGCGAGTCCTGTCACATCGGGGCCATCAGCAAGTGACACTGCAGAGACATATCTGCCCCCTCCAATTGATCCTGCTCTATGGTCAGCTCACATTGTAGATGCTGATTGTGTGGAAATTGTGCGGAGAGGGCCTTTTAAAGTCAGCTCTGATTTTAACTTCCCTAAGGAACCGGATGGAAGAGCGTTTCATACTAGCCTCCAGTTCAAAGTTCTCTCTAATGGAGAAAAGGTGCACAGGAGCTGGGTAGTGTACTCTTCACAGAACAATGCTGTGTTCTGCTTTGCATGCAAGCTTTTTAGCACAAAATGTATAAAGCCGACTGGAAGGAAGTAAGAGCTTATGGAAACATATGACCCTGTCATGGAAAATCATTTGGCCAGATTAAAAGGTGACAGTTCCCACACACATTACCTCAGCCATGAGATACAAAACAAACTAACGCAGATCATCTCTTCAGAGACACTACACACAATTGTGAGACAAATCCATTTTGCCAAATATTTCTCCATCATTCTTGACTGTACTCCAGATGTGAGTCACACAGAACAGATGTCAGTCATCGTGCGCATTGTCTGTTTCCAACTGCAACTGGACATTAAAGAATACTTTCTAGGATACATTGATGTGGAGCAAACTACTGGCCTTAACCTGTCCAATGTTGTCCTTGAGAAATTGAAGGAGCTTGGCATTTCCTTTGAAAATTGTCGAGGACAGGCTTATGACAATGGAGCCAACATGAGAGGGAAGAAGCAAGGTGTTCAGGCTAGACTGCTAGAGTTGAACCCAAGAGCATTGTTTGTCCCCTGTGGAGCTCACACAATCTTGTCATAGCTGATGCTGCCAAGTCCTCCCAAGATGCCACTGACTACTTTGGATATTTGCAGAAGCTCTTCAATTTCTTCTCTGGTGCCACCCAGCGATGGGCCATTTTAACAAAACATGTTAAACTTACTCTGAAATCTTGGAGTGACGTTAGATGGGAGAGCAGGCTTCAGAGTGTAACAGCTGTCCGAAATCAAACCAAGGAAGTGAGAGATGCTCTCCTGGGGGCAAGGGAGGACTGTTAATGATCCAGTGGAAAAAGTGGAGGCTCAAGCTCTTGCTGAGGAAGTAGCCTCATTTCGTTTCGTGCTTCGGGATTCGTGATTTGCTCTGTTGTGTGGTGTGAACTTCTCACCATTACAAACCAGGTGAACAAGCTACTGCGATCCAGTTCCATGCAGCTTGATATTGCTGTCAGGCTCATTGACAGTACCAAAATCAACCTCTCCAAATACAGACAATCTGGGTTTGATGAGGCTGTGTCAACTGCCAAGGAACTCTGTGAGGCCCTGAATATTGAACCAGAGCTTAAGGAGAAATGGCTCAGGAGCACAAAAAGGCTCTTTGCATACGAAGCTGCTGTCAGTTGTGTTGTGGACTCTGCCATCATGTCACTACAGGAGAGGTTTGAGACCATGAATCAGGTCAAAGAAAATATGGAGTGCTGCTTGACTTCAGCAAAGTGAAAGGAATGTCCAAGGAGGACTTGAAGAAACACTGCAAGGAAGTACACAAGACACTGACGGATAAGGGACTGGCTGACATTGATGGACCTGAGATGATGCAGGAAATCATCAACCTTCCTCAGCTTTCACCACAGACATCTGCCGTGGAAATGCTGACATTTCTGCATAACAATCGGCTTCAAGAGGTGTATCCCAATCTGTGGATTGCTCTTCGTATTGCACTGACTCTCCCTGTCACAGTTGCCTCTGGTGAGCGAAGCTTTTCAAAGCTCAAACTAATCAAAACGTACCTGCGCTCATCAATGGGGCAGGAACGTTTAAGTGGTCTGGCTGTCATCAGCATCAATGGGGACTCAGAAACTGTCATATGATGACCTGATAGCTGATTTTGCAGCTAGGAAATGCAGGCGTGTGCCTCTGTAGGGCCTTTGACAAATGATGGTAGTGAAAATGTTTGTAATATAGTTCTATCGGATAGCAGAATGGTCTCTTTTATAGAGATGGTAAAGTAAATTCTACTGTGCAGTTTGTACTTATGTATGGTTATTTGCACTTTAAAATTTGCACTTTATTATTATTATTATTTGTACTTATGTATATTATTTACTGAAGAAATGTGCACATTATTACTTACACGGTTATATACTTGAATACTTTCTGCGTTTACAATATTCAGTTCCAAATCTTCAGAAATTCTGAATGGTTGTTATTCCTTGGTGGTGGTGGTGGTTGGTTGGTTGGTTGGTTGGGGGGGGGGGCACCACCAAGCATTGTGCTTAGGGCACCCAAATGGCTAGCGCCGGCCCTGGCCTTATATATATGGATCAATTGGTTAATCGGTTGATCCATACTGGCTGTACACGGCGCTCTGCCAAACATGCCAAATGCTTGCCAGGCATTTCATGAGATTAAAGAGCGAGAGACGGTTCCCTTCTCTCTACAGTAGATGAACCATCTTAACGGGAAAAATAAGTTATTCTAAAAGGGGCCCTTGGCAGGTGGCGTGGCTGGAGAGCAGCCGAAGGAGACGAGAATCTGCACCGTGCGGCCATGTCGCGGCCCGACGGCCCCCGCCAAGGTGAGGCGGGCCGAGCTCGAACCGAAGCGGAGACGGACGGGGAGCATCGGTCGCGTATTCTCTCCTCGCTGCCGAGATAGCGGCCTAAGATTTAAGGCGTGGATGGCGAGGGGGGCGAGGGGGGCGGCGGGAGCGGACGCACCTCGCAGCATCGATCGGACCCTGAAAGCACCGTCTCCACCTCCCCACACCCCCCCATCCACCCGCCCCGACGCCAAACGTCTGACTGCAGTATCTTATGCGCATTATAATCCGATGCGCGCTATATATGAAAAATGTTCTAAAATGTCATTCATTGAAGGTGTGCCTTATTGTGCGGAAAACACGGCACATGAGCTCTGAAGAAAATGATATACAAAACATACTGTAAGACACGCTACAATACATTGTCGGTTAATACATTTTAATCGGTTAAATTCTTAAGGTCATTTAATCATCCCTAGTTTATGTTTTGATCAGATTAAAGGTTTGGGTGGGCCGCAAAAGATTTTCAGATTTCAAAGTGGGCCGCGGCATTCTTGAGTTTGGGAACCGCTGCTCTAGGTTACACGGGTGACTCACCTAAAGAGGCAGCATGCAGAAGGCAGTTCCCGTCCCCTGTGGTGGCCAGAGGAAGCAGCTTCTTACAGCTAATGCACATGGTGGACCACCAGTTCAGACAACCTGCACATTTACAAACATTTCAATCCACTTTCGAGACAGTACTTTTAAAATGTACACACAAAAAGGGTATTTGTATGTTTTCAAAGTAATGAATAATTGGGCTTTACAGGGATTTTACGGGGATGAGAATACGATCTATAAAGACAAGTGGCAGGACAAGAGAAAAGATTATACATTTTGGGAAAGACAATAACCAACAAGACGTTAATTCCACGGGTGACTGGGTTTGTCAATAATGTAAATATATATATATATATATATATATGTATGTATATATATATATATATATAATTATTATTATTATTATATATATTATATAATATATATTATATATATATAATATATATTAGATATATGTATTTTTTATTCATAGCAAGTTTCAGTAAGACATATTAAGAGCAATAAAATAAATAACTCACTCTCAGGTCCATAAACAACCTACATACTGTAGCACATACATGTCTTGAATGATTTATCACATTTTTAAGGGTTACTTTATTTATCTTTATAAATTTGTCATTTTGAGTGTAGTTTATATCCTAATTACATTATTTTAGACATGGGACATATGTAATTGGCCATTTTGTGGGAAGATTTTTACCTACTCCTTCCTAGTCTAATCAGTCCTTTCAGATTCTACACAAAAACATCTCGGTCAGAAATGCATAAGGAATGTTTACAAGAGCCTTCAATAGTCCGTTGCAACTGAATGTCCTCCAGCTCCACACTACTGGAGAGGGTACCAACGATGGCCCAAAGACAATTACCCTAATTAGCTTAATGAGCTGAACTTTGACGCCGATGTTTAGCAAACGCAATACGCTTTGCACTCGTACAGCGTGCGAACACCCGCTGTGAGTATCCTCTCCCTCAGCCTGACTTATACAGTTATCTAGTTTCTGCTCCATCACCGCCCTGCCAGTGTCCCTGAGGGAGGGACGGCACGCTGCTTTACTGCAGGCCGCCTCGGGTGATCTGACTGCATCATTTATTCAACAACAGCAAACACAGAGGAGGCTCTGAATGATTCACCCCTTGGCGCGGACGGGATCAAAACGCAGGTGCATTTCTCCTTTTGTTTTTTTGTCAGATATAAAAGTCGGTTTTCTTGAAACTTGGACTACAATTACAACCTATTACATATGTTTATTGATGCCATATCAAAGAACGATTGTTATGCTGCTTGAGAATCCCTGTGATCGTAAAAGGGAGGCTAATACTCAGCTGGTTGTTGTAATTAATTAAATTTAAATTTTTTATTTGCAGATACATATCTTTTTAGGAAGATGTGGTGACCATTCCAAGAATTAGCTGAGAAAGGCTTTACAATCTCTGCAGACTCGAGACTTGAATATTTGAAACTTTGACAACTAATCTCAGTCAGTTTGGAAACTTTAGCTGGGAGATCAATTGTTTGGGATCCGGGGTGATTTGAATTAGTTGCTGTCGTCTTCCAGATGCTGCTGCTCTGTGTCCCTACTCTCAGTCTGTCACACTACACGTCTACATTACTAGCCTCCAGAGGTATCTTCCCTTTGCGCCGCTTTGTGGGCCTTCTGCACCGCAGTGTAATCTAAAAAAAGAACACGCCGAAATGCGGCCAATCGTGTGGCATACCTCATCAGCAAGCAGGGGAAGCACTGTGCCAGAATGCATCATATTCTATGGCGCAGCAGTACTCACCGGCTTGCTCCAGAGCCATCATCGTGGACTGTTCGATCAGATCTCTCTCTATGAAGCTCCTGAAATCCTCGCTATACATGCTGAGATCTGGTAGCTGGAATGTGTAGATGGGCATCTCGAGGGGGAACTGCTCGCTGGTACACTCACTGGCCACCTGCAGCCGCGCCAGCGAGACTATAGCGGAGCTGGCGTGGGAGATCCCGCGGGACAGACGCTTCTCTGGAAGGGGGAGGAAGCGAGAACACCGCGGATGAGTTGGAAGCCGGTAGAGACAGAGGAAGAAACCTCACTCAAGGTGACTGGTGGTGGCACTGTGGTGTTATGAGAGGTCTCTTGCCTTGTGCATTGTCCTCCTGCTTCTGTGCACATGGCCTGTCGATCTTGCTGACATGGGTGGGCGTGTCACGTGCCTCTGGTTGCTTGTAGTAGCGGCCCTCGTTGAAGACCTGCGGCAGGTTGGCAGTGTGGACCTGCCTGAGCTCCTCGTAATCATTCAGAGCAGCGCCGAGGTCCCAATTTTTACCTGGGTGACACAAAAAAAATGGTCTGCGTGATTGCTCATATCACAAAAATATAATGTGTATGATTATTGAAGGGTGATTTTATTTTTTAACATTCAGATATCCTGAATTTCTAAACAAGTATGTTTAGAGTTGTTGACCAAATATTATGTTCAATGCATCAAAAGTATTTTTTTGCTGCAGTTTACAATCAGAATATGTTATCAATAGCAGAAAAGGGAAGAGAGAAATGGGAGGAAACACATGTCTATACATCTACAGATTTTTGGATTACGGTCTTTAGAAAGAAAAAAAAAGATCTTATGAATTCCCAGCTCTTTACAAACTTTAAATAATGAGCCGCACCAGAAATGGTTTACATGGCCCGTATGGAACAAAGCCCAACAGTGGCTGAGTAACACATGCAGCGGCATGAGAAGAATAAACTTGATGTTGATGTTGAAGACACTGATGGGAGACAGATCATTAAACAGAGTGACAGCAATATCCTGTTGTGCAGCAGGGACCCCCACCCTGGTAACAAATGCACGCAGACACACACACACATAGTTTGTGTGTTGTTACATTAACATGTTAGATGAAGTGAATGCAATTTGAATCAAACACAATGTATAGTCATGTAAATCATATAAACACTGCACACATTAACATTCTGTCACAATGTGATGTTAAAACCTGGGGACGGATGCTAATTGCCGTCCTTTATGGATTTCTCACAATTTTATCCCCAAAGAGGGTTTTTTGGGAGTTTTTTCTCCTGTCAGGTAGTAAATGAACAACTTAATGTAAGGCAGCCGACTGAGGCAAATGTCTTGAGAATTGAACCACATGAACTGTCTTAGATCTTATGATGTAGTGTGATAAACGGGGATCATTAATGATGTGTTGTAATAAAGGTGTACTAAACAGGAAACAGGAAACAGGAAACATTTATTAGCCAAAATATGTCAAACATACAAAGAATTTGTCTTGGCGGTTAGTGCGCGACAGTAGACAGACAAGACAACAGTGCACAGGTAATAAAATAAAGTGGAATGAAATGCTAATGCAATGGGTTAGTAAGAATAAGGCTAAGGCTATGGGTTAGTATAAAACAGGGGAATAAAGTTAAACACATTTTAAATATTAAGCATAAAGTGCACTAACAAACAAGTAACAGACAAGAGACAAAGTGACAAGTGACCAAGTGATGAATTGCAGTTAAAGTGACATGTGCAGTATGAGGGGGAGTGACCGGTGGAGTGTTATAGTCAGGCAGTGGGGGACCGGGCTCTGTTGATGAGCCCGACTGCCGACGGGAAGAAACTGTTCGTGTGGCGGGAGGTTGTAGTCCTGATGGACCTCAGCCTCCTGCCAGATGGAAGGGGCACAAACAGTTTATGTCCGGGGTGGGAGGGGTCGGCCGCGATCTTTTTAGCTCGCTTCAGAGACCTGGAAGCGAACAAGTCCTCCAGGGACGGCAGATTGCAGCCGATCACCCTCTCTGCAGAGCGGATGACACGCTGAAGCCTGCCCTTGTCCTTGGCTGTGGCTGCAGCGTACCAGACGGTGATGGAGGAGCAGAGGATGGACTCGATGATGGCCGTGTAGAAGTGGACCATCATCGTCTTTGGCAGGTTGAGTTTCTTCAGCTGCCTCAGGAAGAACAACCTCTGCTGAGCCTTCTTGGTGATGGAGCTGATGTTCAGCTCCCACTTGAGGTCCTGGGTGATGATGGAGCCCAGGAAACGGAAGGAATCCACAATAGTGACGGGGGAGTCACACAGGGTGATGGGGGAGGGTGGGGCTCTGTTCCTCCTGAAATCCACAACCATCTCCACTGTCTTTAGAGCGTTGAGCTCCAGGTTGTTCTGGCTGCACCACGACACCAGATGGTCAGACTCCCACCTGTAGGCGGACTCGTCCCCACCAGAGATTAGTCCAATGAGGGTGGTGTCATCCGCAAACTTCAGGAGCTTGACGGACTGATGACTGGAGGTGCAGCTGTTGGTGTACAGGGAGAAGAGCAGAGGGGAAAGAACGCAGCCTTGGGGGGAACCGGTGCTGATGGTCCGAGAGGCTGAGACATGTTTCCCCAGCTTCACATGCTGCTTCCTGTCAGACAGGAAGTCTGTGATCCACTTGCAGGTGGAGTCGGGCACGTGCAGCTGGGAGAGTTTGTCCTGCAGCAGAGACGGGATGATAGTGTTAAAAGCAGAGCTGAAGTCCACAAACAGGATCCTGGCGTAGGTTCCTGGGGAGTCCAGATGCTGGAGGATGTAGTGGAGGGCCATGTTGACAGCATCGTCCACAGACCTGTTGGCTCTGTAGGCGAACTGCAGGGGGTCCAGGAGGGGGTCGGTGAGGGACTTCAGGTGGGACAGGACTAGCCGTTCAAAAGACTTCATGACTACAGAGGTCAGGGCGACGGGCCTGTAGTCATTGAGTCCTGTGATCCTGGGCTTCTTGGGGACAGGGATGATGGTGGAGGCCTTGAAGCAGGCTGGTACGTGGCATGTCTCCAGGGAGGTGTTGAAGATGTCAGTGAACACCGGAGACAGCTGGTCAGCACAATGCTTCAGGGAGTGAGGGGAGACGGAGTCCGGACCGGCTGCCTTACGGGGATTTAGTCTTCTAAAGAGCCGGTTAACGTCTCTCTCCAGAATAGAGAGGGTCGTTGCTGGTGGGGGAGGGGAAGGTGATAATGATGAAGAGGCGTGAGCACCTGATGGGCTGGGGGAGGGAGGGGAGGGGGACTGCAGCAGGTTGGTGGAGCTGTGGGGGATGGGATCAGGACATTGTCTTTCAAATCTGCAGTAGAACTCATTGAGCTCGTCTGCCAGGCGGAGGTCATTCATGGAGTGGGGGGTTTTTGGCTTGTAGTTGGTGAGGTGTTTGAGGCCTCTCCAAACCGAAGCAGAGTCACTTGCTGAGAACTGTTGTTGGAGTTTCTCAGAGTACAGTCGTTTAGCATCTCTCACCGCCTTGCTAAACTTGTATTTTGCCTCTGTGTACAAGTCTTTGTCCCCACTCCTAAATGCCTGATCCTTCTGCAGGCGTAGTGTTCTGAGTTCCGCTGTGAACCAGGGTTTGTCGTTGTTGTAACTCACCCTGGTGCATGATGGTACACAGCTGTCCTCACAGAAGCCGATGTAGGAAGTTACAGCCTCTGTGAACTCATCCAGACTGTCAGTAGCAGTCCTGAAAACATCCCAGTCTGTGCAGTCAAAGCACGCCCGAAGATCCTCCAGCGCCTCACTGGTCCACTTCTTGAATTCCCTCACCACAGGTTTGCAGAGCTTTAGTTTCTGCCTGTATGCAGGAATCAGATGGACCATGACGTGGTCAGAGTGTCCCAGTGCAGCACGAGGGACGGCGTGATAAGCCCTGCTTACTGTGGTGTAACAGTGATCCAGCGTGTTCTCCTCTCTGGTGGGGCATTTAATAAACGGTCTGTATTTAGGGAGTTCATGGGTGAGATTTCCTTTGTTAAAGTCCCCGAGGACAATAACTAAAGAGTCCGGGTTGGTCCGCTCCACACGCCGTATCTGGTCGGCGAGTGTCCGCTGTGCCTCGTGCACGTTGCCCGCCGGCGGCATGTAAACACCGACCAGGATGAATGAAGCGAACTCACGGGGGGAATAAAAGGGTTTGCAGTTGACGAAAAAAGTTTCCAGATCAGGAGAACAGTGTTGTAGGATCACCGTTACGTCGTTGCACCAGCTGTTGTTGAAGTAGAAGCAGATTCCTCCACCCTTCGTCTTGCCGGAGAGCTCCGTGTCGCGGTCCGCTCGGAGCAGCTGGAAGCCCGCCAGCTGGAGCGCGGAGTCCGGTATCGATCCGCAGAGCCACGTCTCCGTGAAGCACAAGACGGAGGATGTAGAGAAGTCTCTGTCTCTCCTCATCAGCAGCTGAATTTCGTCCAGTTTGTTGCACAGCGAGCGCACGTTGGAGAGAAAGATGCATGGCAGCGGAGTGCGAGAACCACGCCTGCGGAGTCTCACCAGCGAGCCGGCCCGTTTTCCTCTCGTCTCACCGCGTGACGAAACCCAGTGAGCACAAGACGTAATTTCAACGTTGATATGGTTGAAATCGGGTTGAAATGAGGTCTGAACGTCTAAGACCTCATTTCAACGTCTTTTCAACCGGCTAAAAATGGGATGAAACATCAACGTGCCAGAAAACGTCAATTTGTTGACAAATGTGTCATGATGTAACGTAAGGTTGAAAGATAGACGATATTAACGTTAAGATTTTCATAATAATTAATGAACTGGTCGGCGAAATTTCGTCTACGCGAAGACGTAATTTCAACGTATTTAATATTTCACTTAAAACGTCATAATTATGAAACTACGGACTGCGTGCTGTTAATAAGATGCGTTTAAGGCATAATAATGCGGGCAGGTTCAAACATTACTTGTAAACACGTGACTCCGCTCACATCTGTAACGCGCATGCGCGAGTTCTTAGACGCCTGCAGAGCTCCGAGCGGACGAGGCGAAGTTACGGCAGCGGAGCGACATGAACGGGCTGATAGAACCACGACTACCGGCTCCACTACTCTGTAAGTACGGGAGTGTTTGGATGAAGCACACATGGAACTATAACCGGGTGTTTTACTTGTGCTGCCCACCCGATACAGGAAAGACGGTCCTTTTTGTTAAGCTAGTTAGCGTTAGCGCAGGTAGTTTGCTAGTTAGCATGCTAGCTTGGAGCATGCTAGCGTGCAGCATGATGACCTGGACCAAAAGTAAACATCCCAGAATATTTTTCGTGTGTTTGGTGTTACTAATGCGTTAGGTTGTTGCTGTACCCATACATGTTATTGCATTTCACATTGAAAATACGTTTTTAAAGCAATGGGGGCTAAATACAGATTGCAAGGGGTGAATTCAACAAGTTGTGCTCTGTAAACAAGAGGGCCAACACATTATAAGTTACTGCTGCTTAAAGCATGATACTGTGTAATATACCTGGACATGTTACTCCAGAAATACCATAAGTTGCAGATTAATTGTTA